ATATTCTACCCCACCCTCAATTAAAAAAGACCCAGACTTTAACCAGTTTAATGGAGAAAGGATATTAGGTTATAACTATTTACACTCTTCCATATTATTCTCTGATCTGTGTTATTCATATATCTCTGTTTTGCATAGTTGCCATCCCCACACAGGAATTTTGTGTCTTTTTATTGAACGTAAAATTTCCATGTATCCACCTAGTCCCCACACTAGTCAGTGTTCCATAGTTTTACATCTTGATAATACTCTGCAGTTTGCTTAGCCTTACTGCATTGTTGAACTTTTGAGATTTTTCCAACTTTCCAGTATTATAAATAGCATTTCTATGACCATCTTTGTACAAACTATTTTCTTTCTGGTCATTTCCTTGAGGTATAATCCTAAAGAAGAATTAGGCCAAAGGGTATGAATAGTTTTATGACTTTAGATTCATATTCTGATATTATATCAATTTACCTTAGATTCAAGGGTTTACACATTTATATATATATATATATATATATATATATATATATATATATATATTTTTAATCATCCTCACCCGAGGACATTTTTTCATTTTTTGTTTAGGTAGAGTGGGAGGGAGAGAGAGGGAGAGAGAGAGAGAAACATCGATGTGAAAGGGACACATCGAGTGGTCGCCACCCGCACAACCAACCAGGGCCGGTGACAAACTGCAACCGAGGTACGTGCCCTTAGCGGGAACTGGACCCGGGTCTCTCCGGACCACAGGCCGATGCTCTAACCGCTGAGCCAAACCGGCCAGGGCCATTTATATATTTTTTAAATTTAATAGGAATATAATGATTATTAAAAGCCATTTCTTTGTTTCAATTCTGCATTAAATTCTGCAGGGCGGGCAGGACTGAGTGGGGATTGCTAATCTCTGCCCCATGTTGTATTGGCTGGGACAGCTTGACTGGGCCTGAAGGATCCAAGATGCTTGACTCACATGTCTGGTGCCTTAGTTGCCTCTTTTGCTTCAACAGGGAGTTTGGACTTTTTTACATAGTGGCCCAGGAACCTCAAGAAAGGAAAAGCCAAAGCTGCTCAGGCCTGCAAATGGCAGGATGCCACTATTGCTGCTTTCAATTGGTCAGAGCCAGTCAGATTCAAGGAGAGACGTTATAGGTTCCACTATGGATGAAGAGGGATGGCATGTGTGAACAGGGATGGGGGTTTCAAGCAGGGAAAATATGCTGGGCACGTTGTAGACAAATAGTATCAGTTGGAATCATTGAGTGAAGGAACAAACAAATGAATATAATAACAAAACATTGGACAGAAAATACTTTAAATACAAAGACAGTACATAGACAATAAAGTGTTTAGATCTTTTCTTTTAAAGAGAATGTATTTAACGGTATAGATTGACAGCATTAAATTTTGCACCAAAAGAGAGGCTGGGGGAAGCAAGAATATTCTATATCAAGACAGATTTTGGGGACCGAAAAATGGCAGCGGAGTGAACGGAGCTACACAGACCATCTCCCAGAACCAAACTGGAATTACAACTATAACACAGACAAATTGACGGGAAAAACCAACAGAAAAACAGCTTGCGAAGACCATACAACGAGGGACACTGACTCCATCCTGGTAGGCTTGCGAAGGCGCGAGACGGGGGCTGGGAGCCCACGGTCGCAGCGGCCTTAGCTGGGAGCAGCGCCCTCGGGTTACACTCCCAGGCGGCTCCACAGCGCAGCCGGGACAGAGGCTGAAACAGCCACAGCCACTCACCTTGGGCTCCGGCAGAGGGAGGGCAGACTGGACTGGAACTGTGTCGGGACACTCGGGGTTTGGAGGGCGCTCAGAGCTTTGGCTGAGTGCAGCCACTCAGGACGGTGGCCACATTGCTCCTTCCCAGGGCTCTGGAGAGAGGCAGCAGCCCCTCCCTCGGAGATCCAACCCCACCCTGTGGGCCATTGAAGTGTTAATTGAGGCTCACTAACAACCAGCATCTGCCCTACCCTCGTGAAAGCCCCTTGGCTGAGCACCAGAAGGAGTTTTTCAATCAACTGACAACCCAAAACTGATCAATTAACCTAGACTGCTAGCCTCCAGGCAAAAAGCTAGAGGATAACAGTACGTTTCCTGGGCTGGCAACTTTAACCAGGAAAGTAAGACTTGACAGTGGTGTTCAACGTGGGTCCTCCCTCCCTCATCTAAACACAGGAGAGGGAGCCACAAACAGCAGAACACCAACACCCACAGGGGAACTTGACAGGCTCCAAAGCCCACAGTGATAGCCAAAATGGTGAAACACAGAAACAGAAGCCAAATGAAAGAGCAAGACACCTCCACCGAAGATGAGATCAATGTGGAGCAATTAGGCATGTTAACAGAGCTAGAATTCAGAGCCATGATCTTGAGGAAGCTGAACAGCATGAGTAAGGACATAGAGACACTGAAAATAAGCCAATTGGAAATTAAAAACCAACAAGAAGAGATAAAAAATGACATATCAGAAATGAAAAACACATTGGAAGGTTTAAAAAGCAGAGTAGGGGAAGCTGAGGACCGGATCAGTGAATTAGAAGACAGGGTAGAAAAAATCAACCAATCAGAAAAACAAAAGGAAAAAACTATTAAAAAACAGGAAGACAGCTTAAGAGAACTGTGGGACAACTGGAAACGTAATAATATTCGCATCATAGGAGTCCCCGAAGAAGAAAATGAGCAAGGGATAGAGATATATTCAAAAAAATAGTGAGAGAAAACTTCCCTAATTTGGTGAAGGAAGAAGGCATTCAAGTTCAAGAAGCACAGAGAGTCCCAAGTAAGAAGAACCCAAACAGGCCCACACCAAGACACATAGTAATTAAAATGCCACAAATTAAAGACAAAGAGAGAATCCTAAAAGCAGCAAGAGATAAGCAACAGGTTACCTACAAAGGAAACCCCATAAGGCTCTCAGCTGACTTCTCACAAGAAACACTACAGGCCAGAAGGGAATGGCATGAAGTAATCAAAGTCATGAAAAACAAGAATCTGAATCCAAGACTTCTCTACCCAGCAAGGCTATCATTCAAAATAGAAGTTTAAATAAAGAGCTTCCCAGACAAAAAAAGGCTAAGGGAATACATTAGCACCAAACCAGCACTACAAGAAATGTTAAAAGGACTGCTGTAATTAGCAGTAGAAATGGGAAGAAAAATAGAACCACACTAAACAAAAATGGCAATAAATAAGTACATATCAATAATCACCTTAAATGTAAAGGGATTGAATGCTCCCATAAAGAGACTGAAAGAAGCCAAGCAGAAGACATACCACATGATCTCACTTATATACGGAATATAATGAACATAACAGTCTGAGGAATACAGTAGACCCAGACACATGGAAGTAGGGCACAGACTGACATCCCTCAGAAGAGGGGATGGGGGGTGGGGGGGTGGGAAGAGATAAACCACAGAACTTATATGCATGTATGCATGACCAATGGACATGGACAACTAAGCCGGGGACAGGGTGGAGGGGGGGTAGGGTGGGGGGTGCCAATGGGGTAAAAAGGTAAAATATCTGTAACAAAAAAATAAATAAAAATTCATAAAATAAAAAAAAAGATTTTGTCACCCTGGCCCATTTGCTCAGTGGTTAGTGTCAGCCTGTGGACCGAAGGGTTGAGGGTTCAATTCCCAGTAAAAGGCATGTACCTGGGTTGCAGGGTTTTTTTTTTAAATCCTCACCCAAGGATATTTTTCCATTTATCTCAGATAGAGTTGGAGGGAAGGGAGAGAGAGAAACGTCAATGTAAGAGCATCACATCGACTGGTTGCCTCCTGTACAACCCGACCAGAGCTGGGGAAGAACCACAACTGAGGTATGTGCCCTTGACCAGAATTGAACCTGAGACTCTTTGGTCCGTGGGTTGATGCTCTCTCTAACTGCTGAGCCAAACCAACCAGGGCTGGGTCGCAGGTTTGATCCTTGGGTTGGGTGTGCAGGTGGCAGCCAATCAATGTGTCTCAAACACATCAGTCTCTCTCTCTCTCTCTCTCTCTCTCTCTCTTCTTTCCACCCTTCCACTCTATCCAAAAATCAATGGAAAAATATGCTCAGGAAAAATCCTCAGGTGAGGATTAATGATAACAACAAAAAACATTGTGTCATCCAGACCAGGGTGTATGAGGCAAGAGAGAGGGACATTTTAGCTAGGCCAGGAGGAAGTATCTGCAGCAGGCGCCTAAGGCAGGCAGGACAGAGGTCTGGAGAGGTCAGGTCTGGGACTGTGGAGCAAGAGCAGGAGTGAGAAATGATGTAGATTCTGCAGGACAAGGCAATAAGTCAGATCAGCAAGTTCAGACCCCAGGACCAGAAACCCAGGACAGAAACATGAGAAACAAAAAGGGCCTAGGGTCAACAGAAGACAAGATACTGGCCATCAGCATCAAGTGTGGTGCTTGAACTGGGCATTCTACTCAGCTGGCCTGATGTTGGATAGGGCCTGGAGCCTGGATCTGTGGTAGCCGGTGTAGAGTTAGGTCTGCAGGGGCCAGCCTGGTGCTCAGTTGGTCAGAATCTCCTGTCTGTTTCCTTACTGAAACATCTGTTCTCTCTAAATTTGTAGGAAGAAGTACCTCTTAGTATGAGCTGATATTAATCATTTTTACCAGACTTACTTAAAATTGTGCTAGCCAGCCTCAGAGACAGCCTCCAATGATCCCCACTTCTTGGTATTCACACCTTTGTTTAATCCCCTCCCACACTGAGAATTGGTCTGTGTGACCCAAAGAATATGGCAAAAATCACAGTATGTTCCTTCCAACTATGGAGAAGGCCCCATGGCAGGAACTGAAACGTCTGGCCAACAGCACATGAGAGAACTTGGAAGTCAGATTCTCCAGCCTTGCTGAGCCTTGAGATGACCACAGCCTCTAACCTCTGCTAACAGCTTGATGACACCCCCATGAGAGACCCTGGGGCAGTAACATGCAGCTAAGTCACTTCAGAATGCTTAACTGTGAGAAACTGAGATGATAAATGCATTTTTTTCTTGGTGCCCCGGTCCCAGAAGTACTGCAATACTGGGTTGATGCACGGAGTGGACAGGGCAAGCTCCTATTCCATCTTCTTGCTCCAAAAATACATTTAATATAATGTCCTCGGGTAAAGGATGTATCAGATATTAAACTGATAAGAACAGATATCACACTTGATCTTAGCCAAAAGCCTGAGAAGCAATAAAATGTGTGTTGTTTTAAGTTACTAAGTTTGAGTAATTTGTTACAAAGCAATAGATGCCTAATGCATGTGGTCTGTATCAGAATTCTCTGGCGAGCTTATTTAACACTGCAATTCCTAGGTCACATCTGAATGAAAAAAAGGGGCATCTTTGGAGCAGGGGTCAGCAATCTATATATACATATTTTTAAAATATGTTTTTATTGATTGTTTTAGAGACAGAGATAGAAACATCAATGTGAGAGAGAAACATCGATAGGCTGCCTCCTGCACCCCTCCTACTGGGGATCAAGCCTGCAACCCAGGCATGTGCCCTGATTGGGAATAGAACTGAGTCCTCTCAGTCCATGGGATGATGCTCAATCTACTAAGCCACATTGGCCAGGCAGCAATCTATATTTTTAACTAGTTCTGGGGTTATTCAAATGTGCTCTTAAATTTGAGAACCACCGTGTTATACATTTAATCCATTAATATTACTTCTTCCAAATAAGTTTGCATTTTAATATTAATTTCTAAGGATTTAAGCCGTGAGTATTATTCAAGGCTTAAACACTAAGTTTAGAAATTTGATGTTTTTTAATTCAAGACACTATTTCAAATATTATAACTTTGGTGATTTTTTTTTTTTATCCTCACCCGAGGACACTTTTCCATTTTTTGTTCAGATAGAGTGGGAGGGAGAAAGAGGAAGAGAGAGATTGAGAGAGAGAGAGAGAGAGAGAAAGAGAGAGAAACATCGACGTGAAGGGTATACTTCCAGTGGCTGCCACCCGCACGACCCAACCAGGGCCGGGGACAAACTGCAACCGAGATACGTGCCCTTAGCGGGAACCAAACCCAGGTCTCTCTGGACCACAGGCCGACGCTCTAACCACTGAGCCAAACCGACCAGGGCGATATGTTTGAAGCAGTTAAAAGACTAAATGATCACTAAGCAAGCCAGAGATTGTTATAACCAGTCACTGCTACAGTATAGCCTTGTTCATAAAAGCATCTTTATTAAATATGCTACTCCCTTGGTCACCCTTCAGCCTGTGCTGCTGTTTGACAGCACTATTTATTGCTCTGTGTGTGCTCATAAACTCAAGAGGCCAAAAGTGTCCATATTTCAGCAAGAGTATATCAAGCTTTGTGCTAAACATGTGTTAGGCCTCACCCTTATTACTGCACTCTCTTCTATGACCTATCATAATGTCCCACTGATAAAAGAATCAAACTGGTTGAGAACCATAGTGCAAAATTAATAATACTCAGCATTAAAGATGGTTGTTTTATTAGTCAGGGTTCCGACATGAAAAAGACTGCACATTCAGATTGTGATTATTCAAGGAGAGTTTAATGAAGGAAGTAAGAACAAAGCTGTAAGATGGATTTGGGGAAACAACCAGGCATACATAATGCAGCACCCAGAGGCTACTTGTAGAGCCATCCTTGATGGCAAGGGTAGGGGTTGGTTCCTGGAACTGGGGACAGAGAGGGCTGTGTGGAGAGGACCAGCTAACAGAAGCTGAGGTCTTTGGTGGGAGGAGGCGCCCAGCCTCTAGTGACCCCCATATAGAGGGAAAGGCTTCTAGTGAGCCCCATATCTTCCTTTCCTCTTACCTCTTGCCAGTGTTCTTCATTGGCCAAACTCAGTAGGAAGCCAGAGGGCAAGAGAGTCCATGGAGACAGTTCACAGAGGTCAGCCTTCTAGAGAAGGGGGAGAATGAATCGGAGGGTACAGGGGAGGGGAGAAATGGAAAATATCTAGCACAGTCATCTATCCTTCTTTGCATATACATAGCTATCTTGAGAATTTTTTATACCTAAAATGAACTACTTGAAACTCAGTGAGACAGCTTATTCAGTAATGCAGAATTTGATGAATGCTTTTTGCTTTGTGCAAACCTTCATGATAATAAACATTGCAGTCAGTTCCTCTGTCAGCCTTCATAGTTCTTAACTGAATTGAGCATTTTTATTCTATTTTAATATGTGACCCTATCTTCTTGGTAGTTTTAATTAAAAGTAGCAAAGGAAACCTGGCCGGTTTGGCTCAGCGGTTAGAGCATCGGTCTATAGTCCGGAGAGACCCAGGTTCGGTTTCCGCTAAGGGTGTGAACCTCGGTTGCAGTTTGTCCCTGGCCCTGGTTGGGTCGTGCAGGTGGCAACCATTCGATGTGTCCCTTTCACGTCGATGTTTCTCTCTCTCTCTCTCTCTCTCCCTCCCACTCTATCTGAACAAAAAACGAAAATAAATAAATAAATAAATAAATAAATAAATAAATAAATAAATAAATAAATAAAATAAAAGTAGTAAAGGAAATGGGCTATTGGAAGTTGTATGTTATTAGGTGGCAAAGGTAGGGGAAGATGAAAGTGTCCTAGGCGTACAGAATGTTGGAGAAAGTTCAGAGGTGGAAGTGGACACCTGGAGTAAGTGGTCCTTCTGTATAGTGGCCTGATGTGACTGGAAAGAAAGAATGGACCAGGAGGAGTTCAAAGTGCACATCTGAATGTTTTTGAACACTAGAAACAAATGATTAGATTGATTCAACCAAATATTTGTAGTTGGTAAGCATGTTCCAAAGGTGTTCCTCTTTTCCCCAGTTTAGGAGGAAGGCGGGGGCTTTATAGGAAAAAATTTGGTACCCAGTAATTCTTCACACTTACGGGCTTTCAGCACTTGAAATATGGTATAGGTAGACAGGGAAATATTTCTGTAAAATTAAATTAATAAAATGTGGGATTTGGAAGGATCCTCCACCACTAACAATCCAATTTACAACATTCTTACTATATGACTTTCCAGTCATTTAAAGGTGGCCAGTGATAAGAAGCTCACTGTTATTAAGCAAAGTTTCTACTCCCTGCCTGCTCAATAATAGAGCACTTCTTCCTAGGGTTAGAGATATGCTTTCTTTCAACTTCTGCCCATTGATTCTTTTTCTGCCATCTGACCAGTCTTATAATAGTCTATTACCTTTTCTATATGAAAAACTCTCTAGGTACAATTTTTCCTTTCTTCCATCTTTCTTTTATCCTGGAGAAGTGATTAATAGTAATAATAAAGAGAAACACATAATATTTTATGCACTATGAACCAAACACAGGGGTAGATGTTTTGTGCACCCTATTGCTAATCTTTACAAAAACATTATGAGATCAGTATTTTGTTTTGTAAATAATATTTATTTTTCAATTACAGTTGACATGCAATATTATATTAGTTTCAGGTGTACAACATAGTGATTATACATTTATATAACTTACGAAGTGATCACCCCAATAAATCTCGTATTCATCCGACACCATACACAGTTATTACAGTATTATTGACTATATTCCCTAAGTTGTACTTTACATTCCCATAACTATTGTGTAACTACCAATCTGTACTTCTCAACTCCTTCCCCTTTTTCACCCATGCTCCCAACCCCCCTCCAATTTGGCAACCATCAAAATAGTCTCTGTATTAGTGAGTTTGTTTCTCTTTTGTTTTTTCATTTATTTTGTTTTTTTTTTTAGAATCCACATATAAGTGAAATCATATGGCATTTGTCTTTCTCTGTCCGACTTATTTCATTTAGCACAATACCCTCTAGTTCTATCCATATTGTTGCAGATGGCAAGATTTCATTCTTTCTTATGGCTGAGTTATATTTTATTGTATATATGCACCACTTTTTTTTTTATCCATGCATCTATTGATGGGCACTTAGGTTGCTTTCATATCTTGGCTATTGTAAATAATGCTGCAGTGAATATATGGATGAATATGTCTTTCATGTTTTGGGCTTCTTCAGATATATACCCAGAAATAGAATTTCTGGGTCCTTCTTTGTCTCTTGTTATAGCCTTTATTTTAAAGTCTATTTTGTCTTGCTACCCCAGCTTTTTAAAAATTTATTTCCATTCTCATGAAATACCTTTTATTATCCCTTTACTTTGTGTGTGTCTTTCAATCTGAAGTGAGTCTCTTACAGACAGCATATGTAAGGGTCTTGATTTCTTATACATTCAGCCTCCATATGTCTTTTGATTAGAACATTAACTCCATTTACATTTACAGTAATCGATAGGGCCCTGGCTGGTGTGGCTTAGTTAGTTGAGCATCATCCTTGTGGGTTCAATTCCTAGTTAGGGCACATACCAGGTTGTGGGTTTAATCTCTGGTCAGGGAATGTACGGGAGACAACCAGTCAGTATTTCTCTCACACATTGGTGTTTCTCCCTCTCCCTTCTTCTCTCTCTAAAAATCAATAAAAACATATAAAAAATAAAAATAAATAAAGTAATTGGTAGGTATATAGTTATTGCCATTTTTATTCATTTTTGCTCTTCTTCTTAAAGAAATCCCTTTAACATTCCTTATGATACTGGTTTGGTGGTGATGAACTCCTTCAGCCTTTTCTAGTTTGGGAAGTTCTTTATCTGTCCTGCAGTTCTAAATGATAGCTTTGCTGGGTAGAGTAATCTTGATTGTAGGTCTTGTCATCAATTTGAGTATTTTGGACCAATCCCTTCTGGCCTACAAACTTTCTGTTGAGAAATCAGCTGACGAAATCATTATTTTCATAACTATTTTACAGGTAGGAAAGATCATGCAGGTTCTACCTGGCTGAGCTGGGATTCAGAAGCAGGTCTGTATGAATACAAGCTCCACCTTCATTTTCCAATTCTAGCGTCTTCATTTCCCAGACATCTCAGCATCCTGGTCACTTTCTGGATTAATGCTTCCTAAAGTGATGTTTTCTTGAAAAGCTGGTTGAGCAGCATAATCATTGTTATGACAAAAGGGAAAGGAAAAATATGTTTGGAGAACAGTGTATGAAACAAAATGAAAGAATTTTCTATATTTTAGGTCTTCTCAGAGTCTTTAATATGCAAAGTGATTGTGAAGTCTAGGAGGAATATGTGGTATTCAAGGTTTTCTAGTCCTATTTGATCCTGCGACTCTTGGGGAGAAGCTTTTGTAGAATTGTGTTTGCCAGTATTCACTTTGGTGAACACTTCTGT